GGGGGGGGGGGGGGGGGCACGCACCTCGTACTGGCCGGTCTCGTGCATCCACGACAACACCCTGCCCAGCACCCAGTCCGCCTCGGGGTCCTCCTGGAAGGCCACCTGGTCCCCCGGCTGCGCGGCCCCCACGTCGAACTCCCCCTGGCTGTGCAGGGTCTGGCGTGCCGTAGAGGTGTGTTTGTGTGTGTGTGTGTCGGTGTTAGTCGTAGTCGGAGTCGTAGTCGTGTTGCCCCTATGGTGGACGTTGGAGACCACTACCGTGGGGCGATACAAAAGCGGTGGAGGCGGGGAGCATAACACCGTCACCGCGCAGCATGGCGGTGTGGGGCGGGGCGTAAATTTTAGAGCGCAGCGTGAACGCCCGGAAGGAGGGGAGGGGGGGGGGGGGACGAGTTGAGTGCAAGGAGGTGCGAGCGCGAGAACGCTGCAGTGACGGCGGGGAACCAACAACAGTAGCGGGTCAGTGCGCGCGGTGTGCAGCGAGCGGGAAGCGCGTGTGGGAGAAAAGAGGCGAGTTTTCCAACCACACGTTTTTCGAACGATTGTTTGTTTCATAGCACACGCTTCGAGTCGAGGAAGGCCAACAAAAATCGGAAAACAAAAAGACAACTTTTCGGGGGGGGGAGGGTGGACGTCTGTATCGCAGCAGCCGAGAGCAGAGAAAAAACTATTTGCCCAGTGAAAAATAAAAGTTACCGGAAACCCCAACAAAAGCTGCGCCGCGTCGGGACAAAGGCGGCAGACTCCGTCACCTGCTCGAAGCTAGCGAGGTCCGTCGTGAGCCTCTTTAGTCTGTCTGCCACCATCTGGTGCGTCTGGTCCGCGATCGCAACCTGCGGCAAAACAAACACAAGCAGGAGAAGCGCCGGACGACACGAGAGCTAAGTTTCCTACAACTTGCATATGTATCTTTCTTACATAATGCATACTTTTGTATTTAAAAAGTGTCTCCCGCGCTGCTGCAGGGAAAATGTGTGCGTCTTCAAACTACCTTACCGGCATAAAATCTCTGCCACAAGTAGCAGCAGCCGACGACACATTCGAATCGACAACAACCCATAAGCCTCTCAACACAGCAAAATAGTCGAAACCATTTACAATACACCGCCAGAACCACCGGACCAACTGAGAAAAATGTTTTTTGAGCTCCCGAAAGTGACAAGACGGGACACAAGTAGAGTGTGCCGCACGGCGTGAGCCATCTTCCTGAGAAAGAGCGCAACCCATAATGACCACCGCCATATGGACCCAAACAAGGCCTACCCGCAACAAGACAAACAACAGCCGCTGCGCGTACTTTGGCACAGAACAGTATACTTTTACATAGGGTTACGCTATTTTTCACACATCCTTTGGGCACGATAATTCCTATCATAGGCACTGCCATCGCCAATTTCACAACAAAGCGGAGGAGCAGCCAAAAAAGGCGTAACGAACGGTTCATCTCTCCAGAACGTTCTCGGAAATTTCTTTGAGAGGTCCCATCCTCTCCAGCCCGACGCATAACCCGTTGTGCGCGAGAAACCGACCGGGGTGACTTGCCTTTTCGTCGACGATCTGCTTGGTGCGGGAGAATAAGCTGTCGATTTCGGCCATCAGGGGGGGGTCATCAACGAGGACCTTCGGGTCGAGTTCCTACGTCACGCGAGGTCAAGAGACGATGCGCGATATGTAACACAGCCGACGATGCGAAAGAGAAGTGTATCACTCAGGGCCGACATGTGTGGGGAGAGGGCACGGCCGATCGCGCAAGAATAGCTACGTAGCTGGCGTATCGGTCGACGAGACAAACGGGTACGGCAGTACCGTTGTTTTCGGTACACCAGACAGCGGTACAGGTAGGTGGGCAGGTTGCCCGCATAGGGCTCCGTGGTGCCAATGTACGGGTACAGCACGTATCGTCCGGTGGGACATCCCGTATGTAGGAAAAGTACAGCAAGAAGGCAAGGAGGCTAAAAGAAGAGACCGGGAGGAAGCAGCCACTGGCAGAAGGCCAATTTCAAACACCGCTCTTGCTGCTCTTGCTGCTGCTGCGGCTACTCTGTTGCTCTGTAACCGTGGTGCAGACATGACGTAACGCAGTCTCCTTAATGTCCGCACGGCCACATTTTCTTATGGGCCGCTCAGATAAAGTGTTGTCCATCTAGAGAGAGTTAAAGACGCGCCCAAGAAGAGCCGCGCCGCTATTGGCGCACACAACAACAGGGGCAGTGAGCGCGCCACACAAGACGAACTACCACACGTCCTCCACCGCAAAACACACGACGCACATGCGTGGGGTGCGGGCGACCAGACCCTAGTCTATCTACGGCATCGAGCTTGGACACGTGCTCGTTGCCTCTTCCTCCCGTACCTGGCTGTCCCCTCTCGCCTTCATCTTCTCTCTCGCCTGCCCCAAGAACTTGTTGTGCAGGGCCTCGAGCTCTCTGCATCGTGTGGGCGACAGGAGAAATCGGGAAGACACGAATGTTCGAGAAACCGCGCAGCGGTCAATCAAGGCTGATAGGAATCTCATCTCAGATAGTTCCAACGGAGCTTGCCGCAGCAGTCTCGCATGAAGCGACACAACTTAACTTGTCTCATGGTGTACGGGGAGCGCTATCAAAATCTGTTCCCAGAAAAACTGCAACCAAGTTATGTACGTCGCCCAATCCCGACTGCGGGCGTGTTGAATATCTTGAGCACCTTGTTTTCCCCGCCAGAGATTGAGGCATGCCCGATTTTAGACAACTGGAGAGTACAGCTGGATTTTTCAAGCTTCCGACAAAGCACAATTCTGGTCGGGGTCCACACAGTTCACCCCCCCCCCCCCCTGGAGGACGGGGATAAGATGTGCAAGAAATTTTTATGGAGTTTGTGGCAGAAACGTAAAGAGC